CCCTGGAATAATGAAGTGTGCTGCTGTTCCCTTTCTGGCTCACAGTGATTTTTTGGAAAATAAAGTTGCTAAAAGTTTGGCTACTGTAATCAAAGAGGTATTGTTTTTCATTCTTTATATATGCTCTCATTGACATGTGGACAATACTTATTCCTTCATTGTGAAACAGATGAGAATACAATCTTCAGAAGATACATCTGGTTATCAGCATTCAGGGGTTCACGGTGATGGTCATATTACCACGGAAGCTTCACTATGTAAATACTTTATTCAGGGGCTATGCAACAGGGGAAGCCAGTGCTTATTCTCTCATTCTTTACAATCAAAGAGGCCCATTTGCAAGTTTTTCTTTTCTTTACAGGTATTTCTAGTTTCAAATGCAACATGATAATCACATGTTTTACTGGATTTCCCTGAATTACATTAAACAAGATTTTAAACCACTAAGTAACTTCGATATTCTGACTAATGTGCATGTTAAGTGCATGTTCAGGGACAATAGACACCTTTTATGTGTCACATGCGTAGTATCATTTTCTCTTCCATTGGTTTTATTTTTTATTTCATGGTAAAACATCATCCTTCCCATTGTACTATGGTTATATATTGGCAGAGTGAGGACAAAGTATTAGGATCAATGTATTGCTCATTCATTATTGCTTCTCATTTATGATGCACCTAATATGTTTGATTTATATGTTAGGGATGCCGAAATGGACATTCATGTTTCTTTTCTCATGATTCGGTTCCATCACCTTCTTTGTCATTCAAATCAAGGCCATGCCTCCCAGAAAATCAAGATGCTGATAATGGGTCTCATTTGCGACTGTTTCCTGCGTCTTCAGATGGGTGCATCTTGGTGCTGGATGACATTGATTTATACTTTTCTTCAAATCTTGCTTATCATTACAATCCATCCTCTATAATTTCTACCACATCTCATAAAGATGGATCTACAATTGGGAAATGGCCAACTGGTGTTAGAGTTCTCTGGGGTCTTTCCCATCCACATCAAACCATTCTGCCCAGCTCTACTGAGAGTGCCATTCCATGGAGCGATGTCAAATGCTTATTGTGGTTCCCTAAGTTTGATAATGAAAATTGGGTGGAGCAGAAAAGCATAGTACAAGATTTTTTCAAGTATTTAGCCATCAGGATGCTGGGTGATGCCTTGTACAATGTCAAAGTAATCATCACCATGAATAATATTCGGTTTTCCCATTTTCAGGTACTTTTACACTTCATCTTTAGCCACCTCATTAATTCTTCTTGATTGCATACTGGTGGGAATTTTATTCCACCTCCTGACTCCCACCTCACCCAATCTCCCTCCCCTTCTCTCTGTACCTTCTGAACCTGAAAGGAACAAAAACAAAGGGGGCCAGGGCCTGGCTTCTTATGATTGGCTTCATGTGCGAGTTCAGGACTCTAGCAGTAAATATATTTCTAGTTCTTTGAGGATTTACCTAGATGTGACCAAAGCATAGCTGCAGAGATGCTTCTTTAATTTGGCTACTATAATGGTCTTTCTTTATTTTCGACCTTTATCCAAATTGTCTTCTTTATTATTTGAGTAAATGCATGGTGGTCATATCTAGATAAAGTGGCTATGTTTTAGAGTGTATGACACTTTTTCCAACCAATTATTTATTAAAGAGTACATTCTTCGTTTATTAAAGATACTATCTACATTCATCATTTAAACGTCAGTTACTTAACTTTTTCCATTCATCTAACCTATTTTTTTAACTCTTAAAATGATTTAGTGCAACAAAAACCAAAAGTTTTTTTTTTTGCCATATACTATGTAACAGATTACTACTTAACAATTTTACTGGACTTCAAAGCTGGCATTAACCACCAGCATTAACCCTATTCAACAGACAAACATGTTTATTTGTGTACTATTTATTTACACCGCAGCGTTTTATGGGAAAAATAAAAATCTATCTAGGTCCAAGCGAGAGGATGAATATGATGATTTTTTGCTTGAAAGAGAAGAGTGACCATTGGGCACCGACTGATTATTCTTGTCGGATCGAATGATTTTATCAATTTCTATCGCTACATTCTTTTTTATTCATCCTCTCAAAAAAGGGAAAAAATGTATTGGTACTATTTATTTATTCATTCATTTATATATTTATTTATTTATTTATTTATTTATTTATTTATTTATTTATTTATATATTAATTTATTTATTTATTTATCACAAAACCATTCTCTTCTCTTAAAATATAACCAAACACTACGTCAGCATGCTCGGGCCATTGATTATGTCACAATTATCATTATTGAGACATAGGTTTATGGCTTGGATAGAATCTCCTTCAATCATGATATTAGTACTTAATCCCAAAATGCAGGCCTTAAATTCAGACTTTTCCGCGTTAAGAGAATAGTGGCCACTACAAGGTCTGCAGAAACCATAAACGAAGACCTAATGTTATTTCTGATCGTTCCTTTAACTCCAGCCTTAAATTTTAGGGTTGAAGGAATATATATATATTTGAGGTTTGCACATGGGGAATTAGGGTTTTGTTGGTTTTCCTTCAAAAATAATATATGTGCTGTCTTGATGCCCTTCCAGGTTGAGAAGTTGGCCAGGGAGTATTTCTTCTTTCTTAGAGAGTCATTCCCCTTCAACCAATCAAGGCTGGGGAATTTCTGGGATGGTGTCATCAACAAAAGGGCAATGCAGCTGTCTGTGCCCATATCATATGTTTTCTCGCTGCATTATCCTACACCACTCACTCAGTCAGTGACCATCGAAGACTTGTTTGCGAGCTTTCACGTGTGACTTGTGGAGAGTACAAAAGCTACCAGGGTTTGCATGAAGTGGCTGAAGCATCTTCATGACAATCAAATTACTTGCGGAATGATTAGGACCGGAGTACCGGAGTTCTTTTTTTGATTAGCAAATACTGCTATTATTATTAATGTTTTGTTTATCATAATAATAGTAATTATCATCATCATTCGTCCTCATTATCTTTATCAATATTTTTGTAGTTGTTATAATGATGATGGTGATAATTAATATTATCATGTTCTGTAATAGTGTAACTTATAAGTTATAACTGCGTAGAATGTGATAGAAATTTGGGTAATTTTGAGCAGCGAAACATTAGAAAATATATGGAGCATGCCAACATGCTCATTATAGAGTGAGCATGTTAGTGTGATGAATGGTTAGATTCTTTAATAAACTAATCTTTACACAGGATGCTTACCCTGTCACCCAATCTGTGGAGCACATTTTATATTACCCCTTATATTATTTCTAGCCGAACATAATAGAAGACTTAAAGGTACCAAACTTAACATTACATGTTAAGAAAAAACTTGTAAATTGGTTATCATAACAGGTCCTAAAAAACTACTAGAGTATATCAAACACGCCTCAGTGCTTTCAGTAGGTACAACCGTACAACATCAAACAATAATTTGATTATAAAAAGATGATTGGAAATTGCCAATTTAAATTTTAAACGATAGATGGTCTAGTCGCTGCACCGTATAATTCTTTTTTAAAACAACACTTGCCTTTATGCCTTGTTGGAAAATTCTTTTGGTACACGTTTTGATACATATTTCTTACATTTAGTCTATGTGTATAGATAATTTGATTAAGATGTGGTTGGTGACTTGGAGAGTTGGAGTCATAGGGATTTTTGGACAAATTTCCTTTAGATAAACAAAATGTAGGAAACTCATACACAAAATATGCACACCAAGAATTTTCTTGTCTAAATTAACTACATAAAATCACATTAGGATGATTATTGAGTTACACTTGTGTTTTATTTATTCAATATTGTTTTTAGGTAATTTCTATATATGGTATGTATGCTAATGTTAGAATATTTTAAAATTTAATACTACCAAGTACTCAAGTAGTGTGTATAAAGAAAAGTTATAAAGTGCATTAATTATGAGCATTTTTTTACATCGCAAATTCGCAATGACAACATTCAAGTCATAATAGTTTAATTGCACAAATAACATTCAAGTGAGAATGTTTTAATATTGTTTGGTATTTTCAAAATTATGTAAATTGGATATCCTAAACCTTAAATTAATGATTTTTTATTATTGGTTTTAAAAATCAAGATATTAATAACTTTTATGTTTATGAATAAAACATAAAACTACCTCCTTAAAATGTTACATGCATCAAGTAATGTTAAAAAGTTTAAACTTAATTTTGAAGTAAAATCAAAGGGAAAATATTTGCATATCTAATAAAAAGTATACAAAATAAAAAAGTTGTATACAATGATTTTTGCGAGTTCCACCCCTGTGTATACTAGTGTTGTATTCGAGCCAAACTTCAACTAATTTTTGTTACTCCAAAAGTTTAGGACAGCACATCGATTAGGCCTATCCAAACATAATTTTGAAAATTATGTTTTGAATTTTTACGACTGGGGAAAATAAATTGGGAAAAAAGGCATAGAGAAATGTTCGTGAAAATAAACCAAAAAATGAATAAAAATGTTTTATTTAACCCCGGTACATTTTGTAAATTTTCTTAATTATTTTCACATTTTTAAAAATATTTAACTTGGAAATTTATAAAAATATTTACATATCTTTGAGAGTTAATAATTGGGATTAATAAAAACAGATCGACTTGGAGTTGTTTATAGCTTATGCTAAGTTGCCATTTAAAATTGACTTGCTATACCAGATTATAGCCGGGTTAGAGACTATTTAAAAAACGATCCCTATAATTGGAACCACACAGAAATAATCAACAATTTAGATTATTAATAGCGAACCCATAATAGTTAGGATTATTATTTTACATTTTCCCTAAGTATAAACAATATTTTATATAATTGTTTACACGACCTTTTATATAAATATAATACTCCGTTATAACAAGTTCAAGTTTGGGTGAACTACAATGAACATAGATGCGTCCCATTCATTAGTTGGCATTGGGCAATACGCATGTCATACCTCCTTCAATAGCAACCCCACACTCCAGTAATTACGCAATTACAGGCCTTTGACATATCCCCCCATTTCATAAAACTTGTCCAATTTTGATTCACATATTGAATAATAAAATAGAGGAATAACACCAATCACAAAATTATTATCACGTACTTTTCCAATAATCTCTAAAATAAACCACTATTGATAAGCACAAGCAAACACAAACACTCCCTAAATTATACATACTTAACAAGGAAAAGTTTTTTTTGGGCATGATTCAAATTTTAGAGCAATTTTGCAATGCAGTCGGCATCCAAAAAGCCAGCAAGGGTGGTTATAGGGTATCATAATCTTTCACGTAACCCATAACCCATTTGTGGTGCAAAAAAGCTATGCGAACTTCTAACTAGTTGAACCTTGGAGTGTTTGTAAAAGATGCTCGATTCGATATTTCATAACAGGCTGACCAGACCTTGTTTTCTTGAACATATTCTGTCTTGTTTGTTTCCGCCGTTCTTCAGCTCTCTTTCTTTCTTCCGTCTTTGCCTGAATAGTGGCCTCCCTTTCCATCCTCACCTTTTCTTCCTCTTCACGCTTTTTCTCATACAGTTCTTTTAAACTGCGAGGCTTATATCTTTTACTTGTATCATTATTCTGATCCACATTACCAGCTTCTCCACCTTCATTCAGTTCCTAAATGGCAGTACAAATGATAAGTACCTTTAATTAATAACATTGTTTCTCAGTTTCAGGGAAGTAAACAGTAAATTATGAACAAATGGCCAAACAAATCGACTACGTATTTTACATCAAAGCAATAAGGGAGTAGCTCCTAAGGATGTTTTTACTTGGACTGTAATTTGCTGGTCTGGTCTGGTCTGGTCTGAACTGGTCTGGTCTGGTAAGGTCTGGTTTCTTTGTATTTTTATAACTATCCTAGTCTGGTCTGGTCTGGTCTGGACTGGTCTGGACTGGTCTGGGACAAATTACAGTCCAAGTAAAAACATCCTAAGAAATAAAAAGCAAATCACATATGTGGATCTACTCATTGAGGACCAGCACCTAACAGTTGCTTACCAGTTACCACTAGTTGTCCAGTATAATGTGTCTAGTAGTCATCTGCAGTATATTGGTGCGTCCATACATTCCACACCAACAATCAAAATCTCTCATTTATATCTCCATTCTCCAATATACTCTTCTGCAACTATTAAAAGGATAACTTTTGGCACTCACACTCCAAATCAACTACCTTCTATATATATCATTGATCTTAAATATAGCCACACTTTACTAATATGATGTTTACTTTGAAAATTACTAAAATATGTTGGTAGCTTATAATTGCACTTTTTTCAAATCTTACGTCTACAGTGTTACATGATTTAGTGAGCGAGCTTTATCTGAGGCTATTTCATACCATCAATCAGAATTATGCACAAAACTTCTGTCAATAACAAGATAAAATAACAGAACCAAATTGAATGGTCAAATTTTGAGAGAACGAAAAAATGGTAAAACGATTTTCTTCTTCTTCTAGAAGGATATTTCTTAAGTGGGGTCCATATATCCACATTCTTTTGTCTCTAGCGTCATCTACACCTAAACTAGTATACACACATTAATATCCACCTAAACCAACGCATAATCTGCTTCAGTATCTATCAACTGATCTGCCTACACAGGAGATGTCCTTGGTATGAAAGAAGAAAAAAATTGAACAAGACCGTGCCAATGACTTATTAAAAACACATAAAAGTTTATCCCTTTTTTAGTGTAACAAGGGGAAAGGGCAGCATCAATTTGAAAGCAATAAAGGAAAGACAAATGCTATACAAGAGAAAACAAAAGATGCAAACGCTATATGCTTTAATGGCTCAAATGCACCTAACATTATTACACTAAAAATGAGATTCTAATAACGCAATTAAAATGATGACCAATGTTCACAAAGTACAGCATTTACTGAATGGAATTACGTGCAAGCACATGACAAATACTATCGTACTTAAAAAAACTCGCTTCAAATACCTCTGTTATTCTTTTAGAAACAGAAGAAGCACTGTGATCACCCTGTTGCTTTACCATTTTCTTATATTTCTTCACAAACTTAGCATTCTTGTAGAACTCCTTTTGCTTCTCTGCCGGTGGAACAAAAGAGAATATCAGAAACACACACCAATGCTACATACGGCATGCAAGATTTTAAATCATCAGGCCACCACACACTTGTGAACTTATGTAGAAAAACTTAGAAGCATATGTCGAAAATGACTATACAACAAATGAAGACCCAAATAACACAGTAAAAGAAAGCTAAGGAGTTTTGTGAAGTGGAGTATTAACTTTTGAATTCTTGAATTATGAAATACTCCCTCCGTTCCACAATAGTTGTCACATATTCATCTTTGGGAAGTTTATTATTAACAGAATCATTTCAAAATTTGGAGACTTTTATCATACTTTTCAAATTTTCTTCTCTCTTTCACACTTTTTCCACCCTACTTACTGTCTCCTACAATATTTCTTAACCTTCCTGAAATAACTAGTGTACCAACAATTGTAGGACCTAGAGAGTTTGCAACAGTTGAATGGAATAATAAATACAGAGTTTATCTACCCAGACACAACTTTACATTTACAGAATTCCTTTTTCTATAGACGACAAGAAAAATGCTTAATATCTACTAACGACCACACTAGTAACAACACCAATTTCTTTAATAACAAGAACACCAGAACTCAAAACGTTACTAGCCATATGCTGAAACTATAACTCTTAATTATCAACTAAAACTTGCAAAGGATACGAGGTAGATGAGGTACCCTCCATTTTGAATCAGATTTTATACTAAGCCTAACAAGGCAATTCTGTAGAACATGAAGATCCTCAAACATAATTCCGTGGCATGCGAATACTACAAAACATGTATTCAATTTACTCTGGAATTTTCAACAGTAAAAAAAGTCACAACTAAAGCACTTGTTCAAATAAAAACTAAGCTCGCCTTCTAATAGTGAGACCAGTATAACAAACATGGCATAGCGGAATTACTTATGAGGGAAGGGTTATAGTTTCCATTGCTAGTTTTGGCATTCACGAACGCTTCTAAGGAGAGGCCCTTTCCTCCCAACCTCTGCATATTTTTCTTCATATTCTTCTTCGCCGAATATGATCGATCACCATGCTTGCCCTTGCTTCTGTCACCATTCCCATTCCCTAAAACTGCACTTTTTTTCGTCATATCAGCTGCAGTACGGTCTGCAAGCTCACTGAAAGATTATTCTAGAACCCTTATTTGCAGCCGCCGGTAGGCCGATCTGACCCGATGAGGGCGACAGTACCAAATTTACAAATGGGATTTCATTTTGGGCTTCTTTTTTATTTGATGCCTCGTACAGCCCATTCATATAATGGGATTTCATTTTGGGCTTCTTTTTTATTTGATGCCTCGTACAGCCCATTCATATAATGGGATTTCATTTTGGGCTTTTTTTTTTTTTTATTTTATATAATGAGATTTGATGAATGGATTATAATTTGCTGGTCTGGTCTGTTCTGTTTAAGTTTGATTTGGTCTGGTCTGATAAACGTCTGGTCTTTTTGTATTTTATCACTAAAAAATTTAGGTCTGATCTGATCTGTTTAAGTCTGGTCTGGTCTATTTAAATCTGGTCTGGGACTGAAAACAGTCCAAGGAAAAACATCATAAGAGCTCGTTTGGTAAAACTCGACTGAATCGATTGATTCTGATTTTGTTGATTTTACAAAAAAAAACAAAATATATTTAAAAATAGGAAAAATTCACACTAATAATCCAACCTATTGACATTCTTCTATTATTAATCCCTTCTACCGATTATTCTAAATTAATACGAATTATGGGGTAAACCTTCCCCAAACAGTCTCACGCATAGGCAACCGGCCATCCCGGTTAATTTTAAAAGTCTCTAACTAACAACGGTCATAGCTCTCAAACCTAATCTCCCTGAACGCATTCTCCACCCCATAAACTTCTCCCGTCTGAGGAAGGTCTGACCGCCATTTCCAGCCGTCAAAAGATGGAAAGCTTTGGTATCCGGTCTTATACACTGCTGCTCCAATTGCAAGAAAATGGTAAGCTTCTTCGTTGTGGTTACTGTTCGTGTTTAGTTATGGTTACTGTTCGTGTATAACATTATTGGGGGAGGGATTTAGGGTTCATGTGGTTTAGTTCATTTCATTTGTTTTTGTGGTATTAATTATGTTCGTTTGTGCTACTGATAGCTTACAAAACTATATGTTAATTATGTAATACAACTATATTCCAGTAATAGCCTGTAGCAGAGCTACTGATAGCTTACAAAACTGCGATTCTTCAAACTTTTCACACTTTTGGTTTGTGCCTCATATCTTTCTGTTTGTTAACATATTAGGTAATACATGACACTCATGTCAGTTTGCGCATATGGCATGGGGGTATGTTTAAGAAGAACAACATGGGAACACTAGAATATGTGGGAGGTGAGTCTAGGACATTTGATATAGATGCAGATGAACTGTGCTGGTTTTGGTTAGAAGACTTGGCTAAAAAATGTGGGGATTACTCCACAATAGATGCCATTTACTACATGATTCCAAATCTTACCTATGAAGAGGGCTTAAAAAGGGCATATCATGATGATCAAGTGAGGGATTTGATAAGTCTGGTGCTAAAGAACAGGTGCATAGACTGTTATGTCATTCATGGCATTGATGTTCCAGATTTAATTGAAGCCATTGAATATGGGGGACAAACTGAATTTCCAGAGATGAAGTCATCCAAGAGCAAGAAAAAACTTAGTCCAAAGGGAGGAGGTAAAGTGAAGGCAATGACAGATGCAATTTCTTCCACTTTTCAAGGTGAGGCTTCTGCAAAGGGCTATGCTCAAATTGGTGAATGTGTAGATACTTCACAACCCTTCACAGATGATTCAGCTGCATTTGAAAGTGATAGACCCCATAGTCCTTTCACATGGGATGAAGAAGATGACTCCTCTGACCCAGAACACACTCCACCATTTGAAGAGGACACAATAAATGCTGAACTTGGTGACCTAGAAGCTGATATTTCAGAAGCTGTAGATAGGGAGAATATGGAGGATGGAATGGTTGGTTCAGATCAAGAAACTAGTGATGAAGAGTATCACAGGGTTAGGGAAAAAGTGAAGGGCTGGAATGTTAAGATAGTTGAGATTGCTGCCCAACTACAAAAGGAAGCTGCTGAAGGTAAGCTTCCTGGACAAAGTAAGAGGAAAGGAAAGAGTCAGGTACAAGAAGAGGTAGAGGCAGATTCTGAAATAATCAGTGAGTATGAAGACACAGAGGATGAGATTTTAACACCTGAGGAAGATGAAGAACAAAATACATTGCAGAAAAGGAGGAGACAAAAGATACCTGTTGTGGATGAAAACACAGACTATAAGATCCTTGAGTGGAAAGTAGGAACTAGGTTTGAAAGTAGAGAAAAATTCAGAGATGCAGTTGTGAGGTTTGCAGTTGCCCAAGGAAGAAACCTAATGTTTAGTGTAAGTGATAAGAAAAGGCAGCAAAGATTAGGTGCTAAATGTGTACCTGGGTGTCCTTTCAAAATTTATGCTAGCTGGGATAGTAGAAGAGGTACTTTTGTGGTTAAATCTGTAGTGGGAGAGCACAGATGTCATAGAAACATGGAAAGAAATAAACAACTTAAAACATCATGGGTTGCTACGCAATTTCTTGAGGTTTTTAAATCCAGACCACACTGGCCAGCTAAGGAAATAATAGAAACTGTCAAAAGGGCTTACAAGGTTGTTGTTAAGAAGAACTTTGTGTATAAGGTGAAGTACATTGCTCATAGGAAATTGCATGGCAGTATGAAGGATCATTATAACAAAGTGGGGAGGTATCTACAGGCTTTGGCAGGTGCAAGTCCCAACAGTACATTCAAGCTTGAAGTTCTTCCTGATGTAAGGGTTTTCCCACCTGTATTTCAGAGGTTATTTGTTTGCTTTGATGGAGTTAAACAAGGTTGGGTTGAAGGTTGTAGGAGAGTACTGTGTGTGGATGGGTGTTTCTTAAAGACTTTTTTGGGTGGTATGTTGCTTACTGCTATTGGAAGAGATGCTAATGAGCAGATGTATCCGCTAGCTTGGGCAGTGGTGGAAGGGGAAAATAATGAAAGTTGGGAATGGTTTTTCATTCAGCTCAATAGGGCTTTAGGTGACATTGATGATGCTTCCATGACTATCATTTCTGATGAACATCGGGTATTCTGTTAACCTATCATTTATGCATGTTTGTCTTGTCTGTGTGTGTACTTTATATGTTAACCTATTTTTGTGTTTATGTATAGGGAATCTTGAATGCTGTACACAAAGTCCTACCTCGTGCAGAACATCGTCATTGTGCCAGGCATATCTATGCTAATTGGCACAAGAACCACAAAGGGGATGAATTGAAGATGGCTTTTTGGAAGGTGGTCAGGGCATACAACCAGGCAGATTATGAAGATGCAATTGGTGAGATGGAGAAACTGAGCCCTACTGCCACAACAGCTTTGAAAGCCTATGACAAAACCAAGTTTTGTAGAGCTTTTATTCAAACCAAGACAAAGTGTGAGGTCATTGTAAACAACATGGCAGAGACCTTTAATGGGACAATAATCAATGCTAGAACAAAGCATTTGATTTTCATGATGGAAGATATTAGGAGTGCCCTAATGCAAAGGATTGTCTTTAAAAGGCAACAAATCCAACTGAGCCATCAGAATATATGTCCTAGGATCCAGGCGAAGTTAGAAAAAGAGAAGGATGAGGCAACCAACTGTGCACCAATGCCTTCTAGTATGATGGTTTTCTAGGTTAGTCATAGAATGGACAGTGTGATGGTTGATCTGGCCGCACACACATGCACTTGTAGAAAATGGGACTTGACCGGAGTACCATGCTGCCATGCTGTGTCCTGTATCTTCTTTCTTCACCAGGCCCCTGAAGATTATGTGCATGAGTGTTACAAGAAGGACACTTACATGAAGATCTATAGTGGTTGTATCCCCCCATGCCCTGGTGAAAGGCATTGGCCTAGAATAGAAGCTCCTTTGGACCCTCCTCCAATAAAAATAGGACCGAGAAGACCCAGAAAGAATAGGATTAAAGATCCCCACGAAGACCCAAAAAGACCTGGAAAGTTAAGCAAGCACGGTATGGAGATGACTTGTAGTATTTGTAAGTCTAAACAACACAACAAAAGAAAGTGTCCTGATAAAGACAAAGCTACACCTTCAAATGTTGAAAATCTGCCTAAGAAATCAAGGGGGAGACCTAGGAAGGTTGTTCTCCATTCTAGTCAACCTTTAAGAGGAGCTGAAATTGGGAATGTCACTGCACAGCCTGCTCAAACTGGACGAGGTGGAAGAATCATGATGAGAGGCAGAGGGAGAGGAAAAGGAAGAGGGAGAGGAAGACAGGTAAGAATGACCATTACATTTAATTTCATTATGTCCTTAACACTGATTATTGTTGCTATTTCATGTGTTTGTATGATAAAATGCAGGTACCTGAGGGATTTGGGGTGTTCATTGATGATCAAGGCAACTCCTTTGTTAATGTGAGAATGATTGCTTTATACTCTACATTTCTAAGAATTTACAGTGGAATTGAATTTGATGAAATTCATTGTTTTTTTTTAAGCCACCTGGTCAAGTTGGAGGTCCACATATCATTTCAGGGGCAACATATCCTCCTTCAAGCAATGCCACTGCATGATTAGCCAATTTGTAGAGCTTGGATGGTGTTTGATGTACTCTGTTTAAGTAGGATGATGTTTGATGTACTTTATGTCACTTGGATGTTGTATTTTGGATTCTGAATTTCAGTTGGATTGAAGTTACTTTCAATTGGATGTCACTTGAAGTTACATTATTTAAGTTTTCAATTGGATTCTATATGTCACTTGCATTCTGTATTTCAGTTGGAGTGAAGTTACTTTATTTAAGTTTTCAGTTGGATTCTATATTTCACTTGGATTATAGTTGGATTCTATATAGATTATAGTGTATTCACGGTGGTGTTGATTGGATTGGTGGATTAGGCAAGCACAAAGATGCTTTTAGCAGTGTATTACTGGTATTAATTCTGGTATTTATCATGTGGATAGTTCAATTCTGGTGTATTACTTTTTTTTGGTGAAAAAGTATCATGTGGATAGTTCAATTCTGCTGCTTGGGATGCTTTTTATCCTTAATTTTTACTTAGGTGACGTTCTCCCTTTTTATGGTATTTGATCATTAAAGCTGCTGGAATTGGTTCATTTTAGTTTATGGAGTGTTATGATATTTTCAGTTTAGGATAGTTCAAACACAGCTTTATGTAGTCCTTATATGTTTTTAGTTTTTGGTGTGAGTATAGTTTTATGGTATTTCATCATTAAAGGTGCTCCATTTGTTCATTTCAGTTTGTCTATGGAGTCTTTTATGATATTTTCATTTTAATGTAGTCCTTATATCACAGCAGAATCGTAGCATACAACTTACACTTCTTCAAAAGTAGAGCAAAGATAGAATGACTGTTACATTTCAACTTCAATCATAAACTTCTTGACTATTACATTTCAACTTCCAAAGATACAAGCTGAAATAGTTCATTACTACAAAGTTTACTCAAATACATTTCATTTCAAATAACTTAGAATAGCAAACACTATCCAAGATACAAGTACAACAATAATAGCAGCTCTTTCTCCTTTAGCACTTTTGGAAGCCTTCATCTGCATTTCAGTTATCACAACACGCATCTTCTTTTTCTTGTTCTTTAACTTTTGCACTTTTTCTTCCAAGATCTTCTTCTCTGCCAACAACCTTTCAATGGCTATGTCTTTATCCATCAGTTTGTATTCATCATGATACTCCACCTCATTGTCATTGTACCATTCAAAGTATTTACAATCTGCATTCTAAACTCACAACACCATAATTACATGTCAATTAATCCACCTCAATGGAGTAAACATTAATACAACCTGCAGCCAGTACATTATACTAAACCTGCAGCCAGTACATTATACTAAACCTGCAGCCAGTAAACATTATACTAAAACCTGCAGCCACCTCAATTTCTAATTCGTATAATCTGCAGGTAGTAAACATTAATACTAACAACAACATGACTTCTAAAAAGCCCTAAATTATACTAAACCAATTATTGTTCATCTGCATCAATTCAACCTTAATTAATCCCAGGAAAATTTAAATACGACATACTTACAGGCCAAAGTGAGCATCCAAAAAATTTTCTCCCCAGATTTCGCCCTTTCTTCACCGTTCTTACTTTCGCTTGTATGTTGTGGTGGCAATTACGCATAATCGAGTTACATGTCCAAGAAGATGACCCACTGACGGACTTTATGAGGATCGTTTTCGTTTGTGTTCTTCAATCGTTACTCAGATTCTTCCACGCGAGGGGTGCTGCTTTGGTTGTTCTCCTTCGTCCTTATTCTCCTTCATCTTTCTCCATCGTCTGTGGCCTTTGCTAACATAAAAGATTCATCACGTGTAATCACGTGAATTTTAATTACCGACTGAGACTTGGTCTGCAGGTTAACAGACTGTTTGGGGAAGGTTTACCCCATAATTCGTATTAATTTAGAATAACTGGTAGGAGGGATTAATAATAGAAGAGTGTCAATAGGTTGGATTATTAGTGTGAATTTTTCCTTAAAAATATATTTTATTAATAAAATAAAGAACAAAATATATAAACAATAGCTAAAATGATCATCTATAGTAACTTCAGCCAATACATTAAAAAAGTAACTCCAACCTTACTTTTTAGGGAAAACTGTCAAATAGGTCCTCGAACTTTCAACAAAAAACAATTAAGTCCTTCTATAGGAGACTATGTCCGGTCATCGCGATTTGGGGCGGTTCCTGGTGAAATTTTTGATGAAATTTTTAGAGCATTTTATTCATCAAGACTAGTTTACTCATACCAAATTTTAGCTAAAAATTTAATCTTGAGCGCATTAAAATTAATTCGAGAACGCAAAAATGCGCAGTTATCTTCAAGAATTAATTTGAATGTGTTCTCGATTGAATTTTTAGCTGAAATTTGGTATGAGTAAACTAGACTTGGTGAATAAGATGCTCAAAAAATTTCATCAAAAAACTCCACCGGGAACTGCTCCAAATCGCGACGGCCGGACAGAACCTCCTATAGAAGGACTTAATTGGCCTTTTTATGAAAGTTCGAGGACCTATTTGACAGTTTTCCCTATTTTTTATTATCATTACACAATTTAGCGCGCAAAATCAACAGTTATGTGTTTAGTTAAAAAGTTGGCTGATAAACAAAAAAACCAGAATCATAAATGGGCTCTAGTTCTATTTAAACCCCTGAAATTACTATTCAGAGAATCAGAGCCACCAAATTAAATATTACTATCTCCATCCCATTAACATTTGAACGTGAAGATGTGATGCATTTATTAAGAAAAATGACTTTATGTGTTTGTTATTAAATTGGTAAAGTAAGAATAAAATATAAAGGTTAAACGCTCAAATAGGCCCCCGTACCTGTCGAGTTGACTCAATTCAATCCCTAAACTAAAAAATGTTCAATTCACATCCTGAATTGGGAAAAAAGGTCAAAATTCCATTTTTCACGGGTTATCCTCCGGTCACCCCACCACGTCACTCGTCAGGTTGCCATCTGTGCATCTGACTTCGAAACTGAAAACTCAAATGAGTCTCTGAACATGTTGGAATAGTTTAATTACCCCCTCAACTTTGAAAAAGGTTCAACATTGTCAAAATAAATTGAAAAAATAAATATAAAATAATAAGATATAGAGTATATAAATATTTATGGCAAAATATTTATATTTTTCAGTTAGTTCAAATTCAATACAAAAATATAAAAAAGATGAAAAGATACTATATGTATATTTTTACATTAATAGTTGACTCTTAAATGTTTATTTGAGTCCTTCCATATATTTCCTTCATTAAATTTTATTTGTGATTTTTAATTTTACTTATATTTTATATTTGGTAATTTTTTGTATGCATTATACTTCCTTCTTTCTTTTTTAGTGGCGACACTTCTATTTTCACGTTTACTAATGCACAATTTTAATCATTAATGTATTTAATTCTCTATTAATAAAATTGTAAAAAAAAAACAGATTTTGAAACTTTAACATGAGATGAATTGAACAATACTTTTCAAAAATGAAATTCCTATACCTTTTTTTACTCCAGGAGGCATCTAGGCGAGGGGGGCTGGTGGTGGTGGTGGTGGTGGGGGGGTCTGGAGTAATCAGGGCTGAAACTCACTCCATTGAGTTTCGAACCCGAGAACTCCCGTAAGGGAGAGTGAGTCGACGACCAGCTGAGCTGAACCGCTTCCTCATTTCTATACCTTTAATAAATTAAATGTAGTTAAATATAGCAAGTGAGTAGTGTAAAATGTAAGAGTAAACTATGGGAAAACTATCAAATAGGTCCTCAAACTTTCATAAAAAGGTCAAATAAGTCCTTATATAAGAGGCTCTGTCCGGCCGTCGCGATTTGGGGCGGCTCTCGATGGAATTTTTTATGAATTTTTTTGAGCATCTTATTCATCGAGTCTAGTTTACTCATACCAAATTTCAGCTAAAACATCAATCGGGAACACATTCAAATTAATTCTTGAAGACAATTGTGCAGTTATCTTTCAGAATAAATTTGAATGCGATCCCGATTGAAGTTTTAGCTGAAATTTGGTATGAGTAAACAAGACTTGATGAATAAGATGCTAAAAAAAATGTATCAAAAAATTCCACTGGGAACCGCCCCAAATCGCGACGGCCGGACATATTGACCTTTTTATGAAAGTTCTAGGACCTATTTGACAGTTTTCCCAGTAAACTATTAATGTAAAAATATACGTATAGTATCTTTTCATCTTTATTGTATTTCTATACATAATTTGAACTAACCGAAAAATATAAATATTTTTGCTATATATATATATATATATATATATATATTTATACTCTATACCTTATTATTTTATATTTATTTTTTCAATTTATTTTGAACCACACAAACTGTATCATATTTGGTGTGAGACAATCTCAGTGAGACGACTGACCAAAAAGAATAGATGAGACAATTGTAGGGGACAGAAGGAATAATAAATAATAAATAATTCAAATATCTAAAATACCCTTCAACCACACAATTGTCGTTGAAATATGCTTCTAAACTTCTCTCATCCTCATCTTACCCCTTGAAACATTATATAGTACTAGTATTTTTATCTGTGACGTGCACGGGATAAAAGATAATTTTATTTATTTTTTGGTTTTATTATACTACATAAAATGTAGAAAATATATTAAATGGTGCTACTTTCGCTCCATGACATCTTAAGAGCACGGGTTATAGAAAAAAAAATCGATACTGAAACCCAATCTAAAAAATTGAATCTGATTTATTGTTGCAGAAAATTCATTCGGTAGCTAGATCACCATCTCGCCAAAGGACTGATCACCGAAATTGTATTTTGGCTAAAGGGTCAAATAGGTACATGAACTAACTTAAAATGTTCAATTAGCCCCTTATATAGGAGGTTCTGCCCGGCCGTCGCCAATTGGGGCGGTTCTCGGTGGAATTTTTTTATGAAAATTTTTGAGCATCTTCTTCATTAAGTCTAGTTTATCCATACCAAATTTCAGCTAAAAATTCAACCGGGAAGGCAGTCAAATGATTTTTTGAAGATAACTGCGCAGGTAAACAACGTAGTACATTTTGAAAAATCATTTGACTGCCTTCCCGATTTAATTTTTAGCTGAAATTTGATATGAGTAAACTAAATTTAATGAAGAAGATGCTCAAAAAATTTCATCAAAAAATTCCACCGGGAAACGCCCCAATTGGCCACGGCCGGGCAGAACCTCCTATATAAGGGGCTAATTAAACACTTTAAGTTAGTTCATGTACCTATTTGACCCTTTAGCCTTGTATTTTCAATCCTCAAAGTGAGCCTTCCGTGAGTGCATGTAAAAGACCTCCTACACGTAGACTATGTGCCCATTTCATACATCTGTATTTAATTATGTCATTTTGTATTTTGCTTTGTCATATTGTTTTCAATTTTATTCCCGTGTAAATTTCTTTTTCGCTATTATTAATAATACTTGGTAAATGACAATCGAGACTCACACCACTAATTTTGATGATTTACGCAGACTATCGTTGTTTTATTCCTCAAATATGACTCATTCACTCATATTGTGGGAAATTTTAATCAACTTATTCTTTTTATAGAACTAAATAAGTTCTATTTGGGGATAAGACATAGTTTGTACTATTTTTGGTCCTATATTGAGCCATTTCTATTAAAAGAAGTTTTGTGACATTTAGATCTGAATTGTGGTGACAGAAGCAATATTAGGGATGCATGATGGTAGGAACATTAAACTCCATGAGGGCAAAAGAAATTTAATGTGTAAAATAAATTAAAAAGAAACCATTAGGATGCATTAACGTGTATATTTAAAAATGCATTAATGATAACATCTTCACTTTGAAATATGGTTTATCAATAATTTTACTCATCTACTCGGCTAATAGCACAATCAAATCAACAATTGAAGTGTTGAACCAATGTTACAATTAAACATTGTAACATTGATATAGTGTATCAGACTATCAGTGTATGACTGTATATATATATATGTATGTGTATAGAATTTGGATCAAATGATAATACAATCTTAAAAGAGAAATAAGAATAATTCTAGAGTGTTAGACTTGAGAATTGTGCATTATCATGAGTCCACTAATATGGTGACATTTTTGTAATAAGTTCTAATTTTTCGACTCATTTGAACTGTGCATTATCTTAACTATAAGTATGGGCCACCATAAACCACAATGTGCATTGTTTTAGGTCATTCTATATATACACACACACATAATATGTGTGCCCGCGTGTCTGTTTTTCAATGTGAGCCTATATGTTTATATACGGGTTTAATGTATCAAATTCTCTCGTGATATATAAATTAAGCGTTTTGCCCTTATATTTTTAAAAATACATCAAATGCTCTCGTGTTATACTCTGAACAATCGTACATGGACACATGATTTTTGAGTTTTGATTGACTCAAACGTGAGGGGATACCATTAGTATATTATTTCAATAAATACTCCAATATGAAATTCATGTGTGTCATGTGGTTGCGGATCTTAAAACTGAAAGTAAATTATAACAAAAATAAAGCAGAAAGTGAAACAAAACTGAATCGGAAACAGACATAAAGCCTAACTATATGAATTATAACAACAATTAGAATGAAAGTAAAACTCTCAAAATCTCACACAGTCACACATACATGCAAATCGGAAAGCAACAATGGAGTCATGCAACAGTCAACGGAGCAGGCAAGGGTGGAGCCGGGCGGGGAACGATCGTGCACGTCTCTGACTTTTGTACTTAGGCGCTTCAGGTTGATTCACGGTGAGGCCATCAGGAACAAGGAGGACAGAGTCACGGAGGTTGAACTTTGAAGGTGAAGCTGATGGGAGGAGAACAGCCGCACAGTCGCTCTGCTTCAGTTCAATAGGTTATGAGGATGGACGAACAAGACTGAGGTGGCAGATAGACTTGGTTTTGATATAGGAGTTATGTTATTTTTGAAATTAAAAAAAATAAAAGTGAAAACGCACAAGCCTCTAAATAAAAAACAAATTATCAACTGACATAAATGAAATGGAATTAGAAAAAGTGGACAAACGGGATATTTTCACTTATTTTTCGATTCCTTCACATTTGGATAAGTAATACGATCAATGGGTTATTCAGGATTTTTCTTTAGGGGGTGAATTAGTACTAAAATATTACTCCGTATCACACATTTCATAATCATCGGACCACAATATGATAACATAATCTAAGGTAAACTTAAATTGTATTTAAAATTATTTGTTCTATAACAAAATATTATCACTTTTCACTAAAAATTTATCTTCACATTTCTTTTGAGGGAAATATTTCATTGTCGATAATTACAATTTCATGAAATAAATTTAAAACACAGAGAGACTGTTACCAGAAGACCCATAGTGAAAAAAAATTGCATTGACTGACTATTGTTTTATATCAAAGAAGCGCAGTCAGTTAAGTGAATCATTTTGTTTTATTCTATTATATTACCAAACCAAAAAAATAGTGAGTTTTTGGCTCCATTTCAAATGATGGAAAGGACACAAGGAACTCATAAGGTATGGACTAAAAATTAATTTAAGTAGAGAGTTGATATGTTGTCAAAAACTTTGCCAGTTTGTCTATATTATGTGCAAATATGTAACTGTAACTCTGTAAGTACTAATAAACTATTTGGTAAAATAATTTTTTGATTAATTAAAATTCTTTTAAACCCTTTTAAACATTAAAAGTGCAAAAATAGAATCAGGATTGTGGAAAAGCCAAAGGGATTCGAACAAAATTGGGTTTCATACCACTGGACTAGGAAAAGGTTTTAAAACTTTTGGGATATTAGTTATTCATATATTTAAATTTCACACACAACCATGTATATAAATAAAAATTCTATATATATTGAAGTTGGGTAGGGGCTTGAGGGGCAATTGCCCCCTTGTCCCCCTTTGTATATACCCCTGAGTAATATCTATCTATAATAATATTAAGTAACAAGGTGTAACACTTTGTTTTTCTCTCCAATTACATATTTAATGCTTCATACCCATTAAAAAAATTAAAAAAATAAGAGTTACACGAATATCTTCTATAATAATAAAAAGTAACAAGGTGTAACACTTTGTTTTTCCCTCCAATTAAACATTTAATGTTTCATACCCAATAAAAAATAAGAGTCACATGAATATTTATCTATAATAACATAAAGTAATAAGGTGTAACACCTTGCTTTTCCCTCCAATTAGACATTTAATGCTTCATACCCATTAAAAAATAAGAGTTATATGAATATCTATCTATAATCTATCTGTAATAATGTAAAGTAACAAGGTGTAGCACCTTGCTTTTTCCCCCAATTAGATATCTATCTATCTATCCATAATAATATAAAGTAACAAGGTGTAGCACATTGCTTTTCCCTCCAATTAGATATTTAATGTTTCATACCCATTAAAAAATAAGAGTTATATGAATATTGGAGTAATTGGAATATTTTCAATTCAAAATGATATTTATAATGATGATGATGATCATAATAATAATAATAATAATAATAATAATAATAATAATAATAATAATAATAATAATAATAATAATAACAGTAATAATAATAAGGGGAAAATAATTAAGATACCCCAAACTTTGAAAGAGTGTGAGATGAACACCCCAATTTTGCATATGTAATTTAAATACCCCAAATTTTATATTAAAAAAAATATTTTAGCACCATAGTCAAGTATTATTTCTTTAAAAAAATTAAATTTATGGTGTTAACTGCATCATTTAAAATATTTTAGAAATCATGAAGACACAATTAACATTCTAAACTTCTATTGCGAAATAAATAATGTTATCCCCAATTTATACAATTGCAACACTTTTAATTTGCTATTTTAAATTATGCAATAACCCCATAAATTTACATTTTTGAAAAAAATAATACATGACAATGGTGCGAAAAAAACTTTTTATATAAAGTTTGGGGTATTTAAATTATATATGCAAGTTGGGGTGTTTACCTCACTCCCCTTCAAAGTGTGGGGTATTGTTATTGTTTTTCCCTAATAGTAGTAGTAGTATTAATAATAATAATAATAATAATAATAATAATATAATAATAATAGTAATAAATAATTAGCGAGAGTTCACTGAACGCAAAAAAAATCAGAACGTTTACAATTTTTTGATTTGAATGTTTTCAATTATAAGCTAGACCAGATCTGATTAAATGAAACTACATCAAATCAGATCAAATTTAAATACAATAGACTTGATCAGATCAGAATAAGTAAGTAAAATATACATACATCTGGCACTTACCATACCAGATCAGTTTAGGTCATCAGACCAAACTTAAACGGACCTAATCATAGAACTTTGGTCTGATTAAAAACATCATTATTATTGTCTTGCAATACAATAATAGTTATAGTAATAATAATAATAGTTATATTATTATTAATAATAGTTATATTGTTAATAATAATAGTCCTCTATAATAATATAAGATAACAAGGTGTAGCTTACATTTCTCTACAATCAGACATTTAATGATTTCATACTCATTTTTTCTAAACAATAGTGTGTAAATTAAAAATTAGTAATTATAATGTGAAAATTTTGATTTGTAAAGCTATGCTATCAATTAATGTGTTTGCTTATCGGATGTTTATAAAAGATTGATCAATAACATTTTTAGCATGCCTCAATTGCTTGGATCCTTGGTAATTATATTCTATAAACACAAATACGTAACGAAATATTTATATATCTAATGATAAGTATTTTTGTTAGTACGAATTGATCCCAACTTTATCAAACTTTGTGCTCTGAAAAATTCATCCCAAATTTTTCAGAGTGGTAAATCCGAGTTAGTTAAAATTAGATTCCCACTGTCATCCAATGACATAGTTAAACATATAACCTATGTTTAAAACAATACTACGTATAAAACTAATGCTGATTAATTTTAATGTCCCTCTAGAAAAAAGTTTACGCACTTTTTGAAATGATATGAAAACTAATGATAAGATATCTATTAAGCATCTTTTTTTAAAAAAAAAGATATCTATTAAGTAGAGTTATTAGAGGGAGTTTGTAACGAATTACGATCGGTGGTAGACTAAAAAAGAAAAACAACATACATAGCCTTAAACAAAAAGGATGAGTATCGTTAAACACTATAAATAGAAAAATAATTTTACAGTGATATAAAATATTACACTTGGAGAGACTAAAAATATATGTAAAGAGAAAAAGAATAATTTCCTCACTGCAGTTTTCTTTTCTTTTAAACATTATCATTCCTCACCGGACCTCACTGCAGTTTTCTTTTCTTTTTTATTTACAGAAAATGAATAATTTCCATCATTACCAATGGAACTAAAGACTCGCTATTTTTGGGTTTGGGATATGAAGCAAAATGACTCAATAAACTGTATGCACTTCTTTGTTATGAAGCACCGGTTGGTTCATGCAAATATCGACCTGATTTACATCATAGTTTATCCGGAAATAGTCTCTTTGTGCTTTAGGACAAGGGTAAGACTACGTACATCCGACCTCCTTACCCCACCGTATGTGGGGGCCTTTGCGGCACCGGGGTAATGTCATTGTTGTTGTTACAGAAAAGGAATACAATTGCACCCAAAAAAAGAAGGAATACAATATGCAAAAAAAAGTTTAATTGCAAATGTAAGTCCCAATGGCATACTTGTGAGAAACCTCATAAAAGTCTGCATTACCATCAATGGCCGGCAGTAAAGATATGCCAGGTAATGATCTAGTTCCTTGCCCAGATAATGTTACATAACCCACAACCTCAAGTTCTTCATTATTTCTTTCATCATCACTAATATACATATAAGTATATACTGCATATACAATTTATCTGGGGTTCGGCTATCAGTGTTCCTTCATCTGAGTCCATAATCGCACAAATCAAATTATATACTCAGAATTGGGTCACCAGCTTTTCTAATTTTAAGATTCGAGAAATAGGTGATATACTTTATGAAGAGAAACTTATTCCCCCTAATTTCGAGCTCAAAGGAGGTTATTTCAAGGCTGTGAAATGGAAACGGCCCATTGGTAGTTCTAAGCTCAATACAGATGCTAAATTTTTACCTGGAGTCTGGAGAAGCCTCTGGCGGTGCGATTTTAAGGAACGTAGAGGGGGTCATGCTGTTTGCTATCTCTTTCCCTCTTTCAGTTCAATCGTCGCTTGAAGCTGAGATATCAGCGGCGTTGTATGCTACGGACTATGCGATCTCAAAAGGGTACTCGGACTTCTTGGTTGAAATGGATGCTGCTGTGGCGTGGAGATATCTTGAAGATGGTGGTGCGGCTAGATGGGTTTTCAGGAAAGTCTGCTGCGTGCAAAGAGGAAAGCGGTTCGGTTTTTGTTTCCCTTCCTTCAGATATATTTTCTAATTGTTGTTTTATTTTCAATTTTGGGTCAGGCCTAGTCCCCCAAAAATTTCGTTTACTTGTCAGTCTATATTAAGGGAGGTTTTGGTTTGGTCCCCCTCTCTTTTTGTAATCAATTCTTTTTAATAAAATAACAACAAATGTTCCCCGCCATTTGCCCCACTGGATGCGGTGATTTGCCTTCCGGGTTTATATATATATATATATATATATATATATATATATATATATATATATACATACTGCGTATATAATTTTTATATTTATTTATATCATATATGAAATTGATGTCATAAGCACACCCAGAAGGATAATTGGTAGAGTGATAAGCTTATCTTTAAAAAGGTAGATCGGAACTTGGAATCGTACTTGGGGTTTAAATTCGAACAGAAAGAAGGGCATTAACCTCCCTTTCCGGCTATGAGGAACACATATTCTAACACTTGTTATTAGCTTGCAGACTTATTGCTATTTACTTGTTATTAAATTGCAGACTTATTCTAAAAAGCATCACATGTCTATTATGCAGACTTATTGCTTATATGAAATGAGGTCCTTTATAGCAACCTATTAAAGATGAAACAGGTAGATATGAATGTGTAGAATGATGTTATGGTCAAGGTAATTAGCTTACTGGAGTGTAGGGTCTTCTTCCCACGCGAGGCTTGTGAATTGATATCCATCGGCAGTCCCACCAATCTGTTTGAGGAAAAAATGCACTAAACAACAGATTGTGAGTGAACAGCGGTCTGATACCATATAACTCATGCAAGTAGTAGAACTCAGGTACCCAAGGTTTTACCTGCTTTAATGATCTATAAAATAATTATGTCTTTGCACACAAATGGAATTTTGAAAAAAAGAATTTAAAGTATACAAGAAGCGGGCTGTATGGCTGACTCAGGAGATTCTCACAACCATCTTGTTCTTCTTTCCAGCCGACAGCAGCAGAAATTTTCCATCTACAATATCCTCCTCCTCAATCTTCTTAGCCTCGCTATCAACTCGAACATTGTTCAAGTAAAGCCCTCCTTGTTTAAGCATCCTCCGCGCGGCAGACTTACTCTCCAGCAACCCACTGGAAACCGAAAGATCCAAAAGCAGAACATTCAAAACCTGATCAAAAGGCAATGAACAAGATGGAACATCTCCAGAAATGGTCTTCCACTCCAACCTAGGATCTGCATTGCCTGGCCTCAGTGCTTCTGTCGCCTTAAGAGCCTCCTCCAGCCCCTCTTGCCCATGAACAAACCGTGTAACCTCCTCAGCCAACCTGCGCTGTGCCGTATTGGGAAGCTTCCCCATTTGGAGCCTGACCTCTTCAATCTCTTGAATGCTCAGAAAGGTAAGGATCTTCAGAAACCTCACAACATCAGAATCCGGAACTGAGAAGAAATATTGATAAAACTTGTATGGCGACACAAGTGAAGGGGACAGCCATATTGCTCCTTCCTCAGATTTCCCAAACTTGGTCCCATCACTCTTGAGGAGAAGCGGGAATGTCAAGCCATAAGCCACGTGAGATGCAGAGGATTTTCCTATTACCCTGCGGATAAGGTCCGTTCCTGAGGTAATATTTCCCCATTGATCACTGCCGCCGATTTGAACAGTGACGCCTTCCTTTTTGAACAAATGCACAAAATCATAACCCTGCAGCAACTGGTAGGAGAACTCTGCGTAGCTCATTCCTTCCTCTGCATTTTCCAATCTCTTCTTCACACTTTCTTTGGACATCATAGTACCAACCCTTGCTAACCTTCCTACATCACCCAAGAAATCTAGAAATTTCACATCTTTCCACCAAGCATAGTTATCTAGAACCTCAAGGTTAGATGAATTTGGCGACGCTACTAGTATCTGACGAATGTTAGCTGAAATTCCGGCAATGTTCTGATTCAACTTAGCATAGTCGAGATCGGGGCGCTCTAAACTCTTGCCGGACGGGTCACCAATGCGGCCAGTGGCTCCACCAATAAGAGCGACAGCTTTATGGCCGCAACGAAGGAACCATGAGAGAACAATAAGACCGAGAAGGTTCCCAAGGTGGAGACTTTCTGCAGTCGGGTCAAAACCACAGTAGACTTTGAGAGGAGGGTGATTCGGGTCGGAGCAAATCGACCTGATGTTTTCACTAGTGACAGACTCTAGCAAACCCCTTTCCTCCAAAATCTCCACCACGTTGTCCCGCCTCCGTTTATCTGACTCATTCTCGGGCCGAGGCGTAAGTTGCGAGGATATGAAGCAAAATAGCCTGTGCCGCCGGTGAGAGTGAAGAGGAGTGAGCGCTGGGACTGTATACGTTCGGAGGAGTGCGGGAGAGAATTGCCATAGGGAGGCACCGTTAAGAATGAAGGTTCTCAGGAATTGGTTAGCACAAGCCATGTGAATGACTGTTATCTGTGGCTCTGGTATTTTATGTTTTGTGGAGGAAGATGATACAAAGAGAGAGCAGGGCCAGTCCTCTCAAATTTGAGGCCCCTGTACAGACAGAATTAAACAAGGGGCCTTAATATATATGGAGTACTCCGTAAGAGTTTGAATCCATGAATGTATATTCTTCGACCATATTTCTATTACAATTGAAAACCATTATAGTTATAATTAAATTTAATTAATCTCTTTTCTTTATAGTTTAATCATTCCTTGAATATGTCTATTAGAAATGAGTGAGCTATATGATTAAAATTGAATAGATTAATCAATATCCTGATTGAAACAAATACTGTACCGTATCGAAGGGATACAAATGCTCCATATACTTTATTTTATTTGATATTTTTCGTAAGAAAATGAGAAATACTGAAAAATCAGCATTGAGAGTTCTTGATACCACTCAAAGTCCAATTCTTAAATATTGTAGTTAAAGGTGGAGGTTTTATGGACATGGAAGAGCAAAGAACTGAAACAAATTAAAGAACAAAAACAAAATACCTTACAACAAACTGCTCCGTATAAGAGATTGTAGAGGCCTGGACATCAAAATTTTGAAAGTCTGAATCAAATTTTTTATAACATACTACACACTGATACCAATTTCTGTTATGAATAATCTAGACAGTACACGTGGCAGGCCATGGATAGAATTGTAGTCTACATGGCTATTGTATACAAATTTAGAATTGGGCTTAGTTAGTTAGTTGTTACTAACTGATTAGTTGAAACATTGACTGGCACGGGAGTTGTATAAATAAGCCCAGTTATATACTTTTACAAGCAGCTTGAATAAAATCATCATCTTCTTCCCGATGCTTTCTATATTCTGTTCATCTGCTATGTTCGAATTCTATTCTTTTCTTTAGAATTCCTGCTTTTGGTTAGCTAATTCATTGATTTTGATCCTTGAATATAGCAATTGGTATCCTAATCCTTTCCGTCAATTTCTACAGAGAAATCTGGCGAAGAAACTTACGGCAGCAGCTCTTTCAATAATCATGGAGGATAAGGTGGCTGGATTGGAACGGCAATTGGAAGAGCAGAATCGCACAAATGAACTCAAATTTGCTGAAACACAACAGAAATTGGATGCGATGCTACTCTTATTACAGAAAAAGGTAGACGAAGAGGATGCTCACTCAGCTCATTCCAATCATTCAATTCACAGTCATTCTATCCAAGAACATGCAGCTATAAACGGTAATTGGAGTAATCACTCTAGAACTCTTGGATTTTCCCCTAAAATTGAGTTTCCTCTTTTCAATGGAGTATGTCCTAGAAGTTGGATACAAAAATGTGTTAGATATTTTGACTTGTGTAAAGTTGAGCATAATCAGAAGGTTGACCTTGCTTCTTTATACTTAACTGGAAGAGCTGAGGCATGGTTTAATGGCTATGTATTGTGCACAAAAATATTGTATGGGAGCAGTTTGTTCTTGATATATGTGCCAGGTTTAATGAAGAAATGGGTGGGTCTGTGGTAGAAGATCTCAACAAGCTGCAACAAATTAACTCTCTAGATGATTATATGGATAAGTTTGAGTCTCAAAGGTCTGATGTTGCAAAGAATCGAGAGATTGCCAGATGAATTTTTCTTGGACAGTTTTATAGGGGGTCTTAACCCTACTATAAAACATTTTGTTAAGGCCTTTAAACCAAGAACTCTGTTGCAAGCTATGGAGTATGCCAGGTTGCAAGAAAATAGTCTGGAAGCCTTGAAGAAAGTAGGAAGAAACTATGTTGATAGACCTACTTTCAGAAATGGAGAAAATCAAACTAAATTTGGGTATAATTATATACCAGGATTTCAGTCCAAGGCACATGGGTTACTCCCTAAACCTGTAAACCCTCAAGGCAGAAACATCATGGAACCTAAGAAGAAGCCCTTATCTTCTTTGGACATTGAAGAGAGAAGAAGGAAAAACTTGTGTTTTCATTGTGATGAAAAATATGCTCCAGGCCACACCTTCAAGGCACAGATATACAAAATTCAAATATTGCCTATCATGGAAGAAGAAGATGTAGAATCAAGAGCAGAAGAAATGGGAACTCAGGAACCAGACAACATTGAAACATGCTATCAAGAGTATCCGGAGGAAGGTGATGAACCTCCCTTAATCTCTTTGAATGCCCTATCTGGTCATCCAAACTTTCACACCATGAGAGTAGTGGGGAAGGTGGGAACTGGGAAAACATGATCTGCACATCTTGATTGATTCTGGGAGTACCCATAACTTCCTAGACCTTCAAATTGCTAAGAAATTGGGTTGTAGAATTTCTAAATCCTGTCCTTTGGAAGTGTCAGTTGCCAATGGTGAAAAGATCTTCATAGACCTGACTTGCCAAAAGTTCAAGTGGAATCTACATGGGCAAGAATTTGTAGCTGACACTATGTTGGTCCCCCTAGGAAGTTGTGAAATGGTTCTGGGAATTCAGTGGCTAACTTCCCTGGGGCAGATTAATTGGAATTTCAAAGATCTTATTATGGAATTCAATTACTTGGGAAGGAGAACGGTTCTGAGAGGCAGTAAAAAGGGCAACCTTAGCTGGATGACTGGAAGTCAAAGTATCAAGGAGATATATAAAGAAAACAAAAGTGGGCATGGGCAATTACTGGTGATTCAAGTGAGTCAAAATTCAGACCAGGTTACTCATGGCAATGCAAAGGACAAGGAATCCCAACTGAAAGAGTTAGATCAGCCTCTTCACTCCTATGCAGACATCTTTGAAGAACCAAAACAACTACCCCCACATAGAAAGCATGATCATAAAATACATCTCAAACCAAGAACTACCCCTATTAATGTAAGGCCATACAGGTATCCGGTGATCCAAAAAGATGCTATTGAAGAATAACCTAAGAAATGCTGGACAATGGCATCATCAGGCCCAGCCAAAGTCCATTTTCTGCACCCGTGGTTATGATAAAAAAGAGAGATGGAGGGTGGAGGTTCTGTGTTGACTATAGGGAGCTCAACAAGCAGACTATAAAAGATAAGTTTCCAATCCCAATCATTGATGAGTTACTTGATGAATTGCATGGGTCTAGTGTATTTTCTAAAATAGACTTGAGATCTGGTTATTGACAAATAAGAATGAGGGAAGAAGATATAGAAAAAACAGCATTCAGAACCCATGTTGGGCATTTTGAATTTCTAGTGATGTCTTTTGGACTCACTAATGCCCCTTACTTTTCAGAGTCTGATGAACTGTATATTTCAGCCTTGTTTGAGGAAATTCATATTAGTTTTTTTATGATATCCTTATTTACAGTTCAACTTGGACAGAGCATTTGAAACACTTACAAATGACTATGGAAGTGCTGAGACAGAATGAATTATTTGCAAAAAGGAGCAAATGCATATTTGGGGTGAAAGAGATTGAATACTTGGGGCATATCATATCCAAAGGTGGAGTATCTACTGATCCTAGGAAAATTGAAGCAATGCAGACCTGGCCAATACCTAGGAACATCAAGGGTTTAATAGGATTTCTAGGCTTGACTTGACTGCTATTACAGAAAATTCATCAAGAACTATGGGATCTTAAGCAAACCCTTAACCAGCTTGTTAAAGAAAAATGCATTTATCTGGAATAAGGAGGCTGAGCAAGCCTTTATACTACTCAAAAGGGCCATGAGTGAAGTCCCACTGCTGGCTTTACCAGACTTCCAACAGCCATTTGTCATAGAAACTGATGCCTCAGACAAAGGAATTGGGGCTATCATTTCTCAGAATCAGCATCCAATAGCCTATTTAAGTAAGGCTCTGTCTGAGAAGAATAAAAGCCTCTCCACATATGAAAAGGAGTTGCTGGCAGTAATCCTAACTGTAGAAAAGTGGAGAGCATACCTGATTGGGCATCGTTTCATCATTAAAACATATCACTTCAGTCTAAAATATCTACTGGAACAGAAAATCATCACACCATTCCAGAGTAAATGCCTACCTAAACTCATGGGACTGGATTATGAGATTGAGTATAGAAAGGGTAAAGAGAATGTTGCTGCAGATGCAGTTTCCAGGCTGGGAAATAGGGAATTGATCAGTATGATACTGACTGAAGTACAATCTGACCTCTTGGACAAAATACAAAAAAGCTGGGAATTGGGAAGAACTGCAGAGTTGGTCAAGAAATTGAAAGAAGAACCTAATGCTGTAAAGAAGTATTCTTTCTCACAAGATAAGATGTTAAGAAAAGGAAAGCTGATGGTAGGAGAAGATGCATGCTTAAGAAAGAAAATTATTCAGAACCTACACAGTTCTGCCCTAGGGGGACATTCCGGAAATCAAGCCACATGCAAGAGGATCCAAGCTCTTTTCTACTGTAAGGGTATGAAGAAAGACATAAGAAATTTTATCAGATGTTGTACCATCTGCCAAAAGAATAAACCCCTATTAGAAGCCCCTGCAGGTCTTTTGCAACCCCTACCAATTCCTGATGCTATCTGGGTGAATATCTCTATGGATTTCATAGAGGGGTTACCTAAGTCCATGGGAAAAGACACTACACTGGTTGTGGTGGATCGTTTGAGCAAGTATGCCCACTTCATTTTACTTGCTCATCCATTTGAAGCTAGCACTGTAGCAAGGGAATACTTTGAACATGTTTTTGAACTCCATGGACTGCCTAAAACTATCATCAGTGATTGAGATAAAGTCTTTCTAAGCAAGTTTTGGCAAGAAACTTTCAAACTTCAGCAAGTAGAGTTGAGACTATCTACTGCATACCATCCTCAGACAGACGGCCAAACGGAGGTAGTCAATAAATGCCTGAAAACTTATCTACGATGCATGACAAGAGAGAATCCAAAAGAATGGGCCAAATGGATTCCCTTGGCTGAATGGTGTTACAATACCAATTATCACTCCTCTATAGGCAGAACTCCTTATGAAGTTGTATATGGTCAATCACCAGCCATACACCTTCCTTACATCAAGGGAGACAGCCCAGTGGAAGCAGTGGATCGCAACTTAAGTGCTAGAGAAGAATGTATTCAGATGCTAAAGTTTCATCTCAAACGATCACAGGATAGGATGAAGATTCAAGCTGACAAAAGGCGGACTGATAAGGAATTCAGAGAAGTGGACTGGGTGTATATCAAACTGCAGCCTTATAGACAGCAGTCCGTGGCTTACCGGAGTAATAAAAAATTATCTCCCAAGTTCTTTGGACCATTTGAGATTATAAAAAGGGTGGGACAAGTTGCATACAAAGTAAAATTGCCTGATCATGCAAAAATACACCCTGTTTTCCACATGTCCCAGCTGAAGAAACATTATGGTGATCCTCCTACAAGCTATACTCTCCCAAATATAAATGACAGTGGAATGATGAGTGTGGAACCATTTGCAGTATTAGAGAGAAAGATAGCTAAAGTGGGAAATGGTGCAGCAGTGTACTGGCTAGTACAATGGATGAATGGGAGCAAGGAAGATGCTACTTGGGAAAGATATGAAGACTTGGTCAAAAGATTCCCAGATTTTGTAAAGTGTTCTATTGCACCTTGTGGGCAAGCTTCATCTTAAGGGGTGGATTGTTATGAATAATCTAGATAGTACACGTGGCAGGCCATGGATAGAATTGTAGTCTACATGGCTATTGTATACAGATTTAGAATTGGGCTTAGTTAGTTAGTTGTTACTAACTGATTAGTTGAAACGTTGACTGGCACGGGAGTTGTATAAATAAGCCCAGTTATATACTTTTACAAGCAGCTTGAATAAAATCATCATCTTCTTCCCGATGCTTTCTATATTATATTCATCTGCTATGTTCGAATTCTATTCTTTTCTTTAGAATTCCTGCTTTTGGTTAGCTAATTCATCGATTTTGATTCTTGAATATAGCAATTTCTTAGTTGTTAAATACAATTATCAATTAAATTGCTTCATTTTTCAATAAATAAACAAGTAAAAACACCCTAATTTGGAATTGAAAATAGAAAATTCATAAAATCACATAATCTTACCGACTACCAAGGTCCGTGAGTCCGTGACCAGTTGGCGGTGATGCAGTGAGGCACTGAGGCGGTGAGGCGGCGAGCCGCGTGACTGCGTAGTCTGTGTGGGGAACTTCAGTCGCGCTGTCCTGGATTTTTGTTCTTTGACAGAGAGCCAGGCGGGGCGGGGCGGCGGGCTGGCGGCGAAAGAGGCGTCCTTCTTGGCGGCACTGTAACTTGAATTTCGGATGTTCTTCTATGCTACGGCACAGGTCTAGCAGGAAGGAATTGTGCAAATAAAATTACTCTTTTGACCTTCAAAAAGCATCACATGTTTTTTTTGACACCAAGCATCACATGTTAAAAATGACCAAATAGTAAGGATTTTCTTTTGGACTGTTTCGGTCCCACACCAGATCAGACCAGATCTGATTAGAAATCTGCAGTTATAAATTATACAGAGATTAGACGTTTAACAGACTAGTTCAGGTTAGACCAATAAATTTCAGTCTAAAAGAAAATATTCTAAAAGTTGATAATGTTTGAGAAAAAATTTGATTTTGAAAAGTAAAAGTTGGTGATATTTGATAAAATATGTATCTTTTGTGTAATAGAGAAAGTAAAAAACAGTTTCTAACTTTTAGCATTTAAGTGTTTAGTTTAAACAGAAGTTATCACTTGAAAACACTTATTTCAATTTTTTTTTAAGTCAGAACCCGAAAAATCACTTTTTAAATGAATAAATATATCCCTGCCACTTAAATCGGGGACAAAAATGAAAAAAACTCTATCACAAATTAAAATGTATCTTTCATTTTGTATAGTTTTAGTATATGACTACATGAGTATCGTTTTTTGTTCTTGTGCGGTTATTATTTAGACAATTTTTTTGAAAAGAAATAATTTTATTTATTATTGATAAAGGTTTTTTTTATATAAAGTTATCGAAAAACATAACAATCAAAAGTCAAAACATTACAATCAACGTTCAAAGCTACACTAGGGCGAGACAAAGAACAAAAAAGACTCATAAAAGCACTCTTTTCGCTAACCTTGCAACGATGTAGACTAGTACAACAGTCTGACTGATCATGCTACTTAAAATAGATCCGGTTTAACCAAACACCGTAAAGGAACTATTGAATTTCCCGGTTTTGCCAGCCACCGGTGAGGAGCCAAGTGCAGAATTTGTTCTGGTTTCACCAGTCACCGGAAAGAAAACGCTTCATGTCATCTCATCTTTCTAGATCGGTAGTGGTTCAAGAGGGGAGCGATCGATCTCAATATTGATGCAGAAAAAAATTCATATTGTTGATTGACAGAGAAGCAGCTAGAAATCTATCAGTAGCACACAAAACACCGGGCCAATGATGACTGGAAAATATATATACTTCTGGTGGAAGATTATTTGTTAGATAGGCCCTTTCTACGTAACTGCATAACTAGTACGGAGCAGTGGCGGACCCACTAAGGGTCCCACGGGCTCCCGGGACCCCATGCACTTCCAATAAAATACCTATATGAATAAAATATTTTTAGATAAAATTAAGTAGTTTATGAAATATACGTCAAATGCCACAAATAAATTGAATGAGGAATGTAGTGCAGTGGGAGCTCGCGCGTGTTTAAGTCCTTTCCACCTCGCAAGGTAGCTAGTTCGAATCCCCATTCTGTGTCTTTTTGTTCTTTTTAGACTTATGACTCAAAAAGACCAAAATAACTTTTGGCTTTTGGTTGAAATCTCTAAGACCATACTTGAAAAATTAAGTATGGATTCGGTCAATATGAAAAACAGTGTCTATTCTATGTCAATGCTATTTTTTATATACTACGTATTTATTTAACAAAACATTATTAAATAATTATAAATAATGTTAGTATTAAATAATTATAAATAATGTTTTTCTTTGATTCTTTTCTAAAAAATTACTCACTCCGTCTCTTTAAAATTGCCTTATCTTTTTTTTTTGGCTTGTCCCACTCAGATTGTCAAATACCAAATTTGATGGTTCTAAATCATTTATACTTTATTCCTTCTTTATCAATTTAATATCAACTATATAAACACATTTTTCTTAATAACTGTGTCACATCCTTATGTCTCAAAATCAGTGGGACGGGGTAGTATGAAATTAAAAAAAAAATACACATTTTGATGTTAATAATTTAAACTCCGTTAATTTTTATTGGTTACCTTTTATATAATTAATCTTTTGTGGATTAATTATTAAAACTTCTTTGAAGGTTAAGATTAAATTATTAAATTTATGAATTTCTGAATGTTTTTCAATGATTGAATGATTGCTTAATTACATTTTTAGAGAGGTATTTTTGGTACTATCGGTGATGATTCTATTATATAATATTCCCCACAAATGAAACCTAGGATGGTACATTTGTAGAATCGTATAATGAATTTTATGTGTGATTTTGTGCGTTATACTATCTTAATGTTTTGATGATGTACGGTAAATATGAAACGTTATGCTTCTTTAATATTTTACTTTGTTTTTTATTAATTTGATATTAATTAAAGTTAGAATAGGGTAGGGACCCCGTGACTCTATTTTTCTGGGTCCGCCACTGGTACGGAGTAGTAAGTATGTCCATTTATAATTGTTTTTCTAATGAGTACTTCTGTACTATCCATACACGCATACAAGTATACAACATTAATCTATGAGATAATGCTATTTTATTGTCATAATAATTATAATGTATTAATATTAGATGTGGATAAAGATAAGCAAAAATAAACTCGAAACTAAGATATGGTCACGAATTGCACGTTGCTACCAAGAAATTACATTACATACAAACCTAGTTAGTTTTTTTTCGTTTTAAACGCGTTTTAAACACGTACCGTTTTTTGACCAAAAAACACGTTTAAAAAGAAGAGAAATGTCGGTCCGCTTAAAAAGGAAAAAAACTCCTACTTCCCGTACAAAACGTATTTTTCTCGTATTTTACTCAAAACATAAACATGAATTGACCAATTGAATGAATGCACTAAATGCATAGAAGATCAATAATAGTGTAAAAGTAAAAATGAAAACGTCCTCCCCATGATCTCTTTTTTTTGTATTGTTACAATGCAATTATTAAATACTAAAATTAATTGCATGATGGCTAAAGCTAGCATCCTGAAATACTAAAACTTACGTCGTAATATACTACAAGATTTCTGATGTTTTTTCAAGCTAGCATATCAAAATTAAGATTTTTCTAAACCTACCGTTTTTTTAGCATAAACTTTTACACAAACAATATTAAGTGTAGCAATCACACAACTTTTGTCATGTGTCGTCTGTCATCTTAATGAAAATGATGAGTTTAACTTGAGTGTTATTTGATAATCACATAAAGATAATGATTTTTTGACATTATTTTTCAAAATTATGTCTTGGACTTAATTACTGTTTTTATTTTTGTCATCGACTTATGCAATTACGAACTATTCTTGTATGTAGTAATTTAATGAGATTTGTTACTTGAATATGTGTATACTTTTATTTCTTTTTTACTATATATGTTATTTTATGAAATATATCATTTAAATGTTCAAAATAATACCCGTTTTTTTCGTCCGAATTTTTGTAATATACAACGCGTATTATACACGTATACGTATTCACACGTTTTTTAAAAGTCAACGATTTTTGACTATTTTTTCATTCATGTTACCGAATAAAACGCGTGCGTGTACGTATTAAACCTATTTTAATTCCCGTACCGTATTTAACTAACTAGGCATACAAATCCCATTAAAGCTCTTGCTTCTCAGGCGGGAAGCGTGATCACTAATTAAAGTCATGTTAACATTTCGTTACCTTTCAGTCAAGTAAGACAGGGAGAGAAAAGAAATGCTAGAGGTACACGTTTTTTGTACACGTTTGGTGTACACTTGTCTGTGAAGGACAGATAAGTGTACACCAAACGTGTACAAAAATGTGTACCTCTAGCATTTTTCGGGAGAGAAACACACTTTTACCATAAAAGCCTTTGATAATACTCACATCGGTTACCGAGTACATTAACTTATTATTCTCAAGTTCTAGCTGAAGACCTGAAGTTACTGGCTCGATTTCTAAAAAATTGTATGTAAACTATAGTTTATTAATTAAAGGAAAAAACTATATGAAAAATAACTAAAATGATTTTATACAGTAACTTTAGTTAAAGTAACCTTGCTTCCTTTAGGTCTTGGATGATTTTTTACCGTAACTTTTTTTTGGGATTACTCTCTCCTTGTGAACAGGGTTTCTGGTAGAACGAGTCCTAAACAATTCAGCGCGACAAATAAAAAATTACATGTTTTGTAAAAAAGTTATTTTTTTTACTGTCACTCCCTTCGTGCCCATATTATTGTCTCAGTTCTTATTCATTAGATCAACACAAATTACCCTTATAATCTGTTACTTTATGTATCAAACTAGGTTTCAAGCCCGTGCCATGCACAGGCAGTACATAATTTAACAATTTTTTGAATTTGATTTTTTATGAAATCATATATAATGTGATGCAAAAGTGAAATAAACCCAGTCTAAATATAGAGTTTGTTTGATAATACTAAAATTGGTGAAATCGACTTATTTTACTAAAATTGATTAAATTTTAGTTGAATGGAATGAATGAGAGGAATCTTCTAAATCATGAAAAAAAATCCATCTATAAAATAAAGAAACAATTATATGAAAAATATTTAAAATGTTCTTCTACACAAGCATCTCAACTAAACATAATTTTGTGAATCCAATTTTAAAGAATTCACAAAGAAGCTTCTTAATTAATCTCACATCCTCTAAATTACTTTATTATGTACCTCAATTTTTTTTTCATATTCCTCATTCAGCTTGGTATGAAATATGGAATATACATACTTTTAACTTTTAATAGTAAGATTTTACATTTTACTCATTATTTCGTCACATTGAAAATGTAAAAAAAATGGATTTTTTTTACATTTTACTCATTATTTCATATGAATAGATAACTTTATTGAGCATTCAAAATAATATTTTTCTAATATTTCTCATTCAACTTGGTATAAAAAATATATTTTTAAATTTTAATAGTGAGATCTTTTATTTTACTCATTATTTCACTACATTGAAAATGTAAAAAATTGGTGTTTTTACAGTTTACTCATTATTTTGTCACATTGTAAACTTCATTAATAAGGACATTTTTAACTGAATTAAAAATTTCGGGTTTGATTTGGCCTGAAGTAATATTATCTGGAAGATGTCTGTTTTACATTTTATGTGTCCTATA